CTCCGCAATAGTCAGGCCGAACCCATCTGCGAGAACATGGTCGATGTGACTCTCACTACCATTGCTACCCCTGGATGGACTGTTGCGGCCGAATTGAATTTTGACGTCTACTATTTCTCGGACAAATCCACGATCATACCTGCATCAACCAGGATGTCACTACGCATGAATGAGCGACACATCAAGTCCATCCAGATACGGAATGTCAAACCGCCCAGCTCAAGTCTCCATTACATGGCGATCTACAATGATGTCAAGATACACTTCCCCAATATCAAAGACCTTGACCGCTTCATTGCATTCAATGACCTTCACGTTGTCAAAATCGATTACAACGCAACGAAAGTTGCTGTCTGCGGGTGTAACTTCTTCGTCGACCATCAAATCGGCGGCCCAATCTCATCGAAAATCCGCCAACTCCAGAGCAAGTTTCGAGGGAAAACTCAATTCATTCTGCTATTTCGATCCGCCCATGCTACCGGGATGCTGGCAACGTTCAAAACAAGGCTCGAAGCTCGGCGTGAGACCAGTCTACTACAAGCGTGGTGGCCTAGGAGCAGAGGCCGAGTTGAGATCGACCACCATACGCCGCGCCCAAGACGCAGGGGCGTGTTTCCGCTAAGGCATTCGTACGATTGCATCGAACTGCTCTCAACCGCAATGCTCTGTGGCGCCATGTATGAATCGGAAGCACTGTACGCGGCTGCGGCTCCATGCGAAGCAGCACTCAGAGTCCAGTCTTTGCCCGGCTGTGGCAATCGTCAGTACTTCGCTTACATGGAGGAACATACTCTCACAGCCCATCCATCTATTGGTGACGAAGTTACTCTCTGTTTTGAGGGAGTTGTCGACGATCCTTCCTACCGCTGGATTGGACGGGTCCTCGAACCTCTGCCTCAAGCGAAGCCTAACGAGATCTCCCTTTTCATTACTCGGCCATATGACGAAGATGAGAGAGAATGGTTGAGAGTGGAGATTCCAGCAGCATCTTGGGTGCATGAGACCAAGTCGAGCATGGACGCAGACTTGCGGAGCATTACTTCGATCACCGCAAAGATCCGCAACGCATACGACAACATACCCCTGAAACGTCAAATCCATGGCCTCAGGCAACTACAAGAGCATGCGACTCCCTCCCAAACTAAAATCATGCTCGGGAACGATTTGGAGAACATCGAGAAACGCAATTTCTTCGAGAAAGTCCCCAGTGATGATGTTCAGCTGGCCAATGTTGGTACCACGAAGCAGGGACAAATCGTCAATGCCTTGCGCGACGCTCCGGGTGGCATGACGCAGATCCAGACCCAACAAGGGACGGACAAATGCATAATCATATCTCAGATCATCAAGCCGCTGGTAATGGCAGAGGACGATGCTGCTCCTGCCAATGTCCTTGTCTGTGCGGCTTCCAACACCACCGCCGATGGCCTTGCCAGGAACCTCAACAGAATGATCCTCGCTGTCAATAATGAGAGGAGCACACCCCGATACTCGTACGTTGTTCGCTTGCACTCCGGAGACACCGAAAACGCGATTGTTCGTCGTGATGGAGACCGAGCGAGGCAACGCCGGGGCGATGCTCCACCCCCGGTGCTCGATAAGCAGGAAATGGAGCAAGCAAAGTTGAGAATAGTCGAAGAGATGCTTCTTCCCGCACAGAAACTGTTGGATCTGTACCACACCCACTGCCATCAGCCATATGACATCGACGATCTGAGCCTCAAGGAATGGGATCTTGCCATGGGCGTTCTCATGCTGTACCGCGCTGGTGCCTATCGCAATGTCAAGCACCCCATCGAGCATCCAGACGCAAAGATTAAATACGCGGGTTTCCGCAATAACCATGACTATTACTTTGGGAGGTCCCACTTTGACAGTAAATTTTACTACGCGGGGGGCATCGTTGAAGGTCCAGACGCCTGGTACAATGCCCACTGCAAAGAGCTTTTCAACGAAGTTGCCAGCAACGCATCAGTCATCGTGACCACATTCTCCAACGCCCTAGATTCCAAGATCTACGAATCCTACTCTCCGAGGCATTTGGTCGTGGAGGAAGCGGAAAAGATCCTATCTCTGAACTTTATTGCGCTCTGGGCCGCATTGCCCTCACTGAGGCATATAGTCCAGTTTGCAGGGCCGAAGCTGGAGCGGCCGAAGATCCAGTCCACGGTGCACGACAATCCCTTCGCTTTGCAGCTGGGCATATCGTTCTTCGAGAGGAATATGTTCAATGGCTTCCCGACTCTACAAATTACTGAGGAATCTGGCGACGCAGAGGAGGTTTAGGGCATGGTGGAAGCAGGGTGGTGGGATGCATCATACAGAAGGGAGTGCTCAGTGGGACAACGATGAGTACCTAATAGATCGATCTTGGGCAAAATGCGTAGATTGAGGAAAGGAAGTATCTATCAAGACCTCCTTTGCTTCAGCGGATCAACGCGGAACAAAAGACCTACGGGGTACATAGGTCCTAATCTCTGTGCTGTGCCCACGTCAACACTCCCATAATCACCTGCATAGTAGCTAATATCTCCCCCAAGTTATCTGTACGCCTGTTGTATGAAAGGTGCAAGCATTTGCGAGAATGTGCCGATTTATTTTCATGCCCTGCCATCCGACGAAAGTAATCTTTGCTAGATAGTCCCGGGATTGATTCAAGAGACCGCCTGTTTGTCAGATTTCGAGGAATAGCGTCAAGCTACTCCATGGGACGAACTTTGCAATGGAACTCTCATCTCTATTTCTGAAAGCCACGCGTTAGTTGACAAGCGGTGCAAATACATGGTTTCTCCAGCCGACTGACGAAAATAACCTTTGGTTTGAAACGAACCAGTACCGGATACTTGCTACGAATTCTTTTTCGTCTACCAATTCTGCTCTAGTGCAGATGTAAAAGATGTCTAGCGTCCAGCTGCAAGTGGAGATGCCAAAGAAATAAAGTTACTGCCTGTCAGCTATCTGGGGTTTACTACAGCTGCTGATTATATATCTGTATTTCTACGGTTGGTCTTGCAAAAGTCTTGACCTTTTGCTGGAATTCATCTGGAAAAAAGCCTTAAAATCTCTGCCGGTAAACAAAAGACGTTTGTCCTCGAAAGCCCCGGGATCAATCCAATACCCTCTTTTCCCCTTTCCTTTTCAGCAACTGGCGTTTGATCTGGTTGAGAGATTTTCTGAGAGGGTGCTAGCTTAAGTTTCTCGATACTCTCTACTCTAGAATAAAGAACTACCTTACGCTCTACCCGCTTCGTCTTTATATTCTACCTACGAAAAGTACTTACGCTATAGACCTCCTACGTCCCCTAGCATATAGCTTTTATACTCCGCTGGGATTCTCTCTTAATTTTCAGGGCCACAGCTTATACTGTTGATCAACTTGGAACAAATAAAAAATGTATTGCTTGTGTAGACTCTGCTGGATCTTCCTTGCTCTTTCGAGGATTTGCGAACTGGAGGAGCTCTTCGTAACTATCCCAAACTTTCGTCTGTCATGCTCAATTTTGCGGCTGGCTTTGAAGTTTGGCGATAAGCACTCCTAGATCTCATCTACTATCGCCGCTTCTTTATACCTGAGAAACAGTCTGACTTTGATAATTGGCCTCAAGCTGTCGGGAGTAATACTGTTAAACATGATCTACCAATCCGATTATTTCAATCTTGAGTGATGGTCCGGGAGAAGACCACTGTTCTATCGGAAAGGCAAACTTCGACAATTGACATCAAGCTAGGTGAGAAATAGCAATGCAAGATCTTGAATGTCTCTCCCACATAGACAGACCGACCTGGAGGAACCTTGCAATCCAGACGACTATTTGGGAGGAACCCTTTTGGGGTTTGCTCCTACCGTAATCCAAGTCGGTAATCGGACCTCCGAGTTCTTGCGCCACTTGTCTTTTGCCAAACTCGCACTGGAGCTTCGGGAGGTATTCGAACCTCTATTTGACATGGACGTCTTGCCAACTGGTAAGTGTAGTTCAATTTGAAAGCATATTCCTCCAACTTATGTGAAGCACGTGGGAATATGAGCGTGATGCATGAACTGCCTTTTGAGTGTAAAAACATGCTAGGTATGTTGTCGGAGACCAAAGCACGAAAAAGGGTGCGCACAATTACTTGTGCATTTTTTTGGTCTGCTTAAGTATCCGAAGTATCCGACATATGTAGAAGGGAAAACTCAAGGGCGCAATGGAAATAGCTTTCGCCGACGTTCGCTTCTCTGTGTCCGTCTACAGTGGACGCAAGAATCCTTCGGAAAGCAGTTCAATACGGATAAGGTTTCAAGTCCCCCTACGGGAAAAGAGGGCCAATCTTCAATAGTCAAGAAGAGGAGAGACTCTCGAGTTACTCCCGGAGGTCTCCAGGAACCACAGCTTTATGTAAATGGTAAAAAGCTGTTCTCAAAAATGGGGTTATCCCGAAAATTATTGCGACCCCTGTGCGTCTATTTGACGACGCCTTCAGCGCCCATACGCCCCTGATCTCTAACCACACAACCAAAATGCTCCAGAATGGCAAATGTGGGATGTGTGTCGAACAGCGCCCCAAGTTTAATATAGAACAATATTGCTCTCGGCTTGCTATACCCATTATATTTCTTGGATGTGAGATTATGCTAGGCTAACTTCAGAATTAGGGTCAAGGTGTTACAGAGCCAGTCGAAGGAACTAGATACGTTCCACTTTGTGGAATTTCCGTTTAACGTCTATCTGTGCACTAGGGGTGCGTCACTAGTACACGTGATCATTCAAGTCATGACGAGGTCTTGCGTTCAATTCGCAATGGGGGTATTTTTTTGCCCTTCTCAAAAATTCTACTTTACCCCTTCTTCCCCTCCTTTTCCTACCTACTATCTTCCTCGTTTTTAACAATACAACTTACATACATCTCGAGCTATTCAGCTACCAGTTTTACGGGAATAGAAGGACGGAAGGCATCCAGAGATTCGGCCTGCGACTTGCCAATAAAAGGTAAAAAGAAGGGTAAAAGAAGGGCAAAAAAGATGCCCCCATTGCGAATTGAACGCAAGACCTCGTCATGACATGGATGATCACGTGTACTAGTGACGCGCTCTACCGCTGAGCTATAGGGGCTGATTGATGACTCGGAAAGTTGTGTCGTTTATGAAAAGTGTTTTTTTTTTGCGCACAGACAAGCCCGGGGTCACAAAGAGGGGCCGATATTTGTCACCGCCAGCAAAAACCGGGAAAATTTCCCCACACCTCTCAATAGAGCGTAATAAATTTTGATTTTGGATATTCCAATTCTACGCGCAAAACAGAATAGACTCGCAGCTATTTGTTATTTGATCTTTTACTGTTGGGCGGGTAGAAAGCTGCTATTTCTCGTTGAAGCTGGGCCCAATAATATGGGCCACTTTTTGCGATTTCCCCAGGGCAAGATTTCACGAGACCGCAATTTTTCCCCGGCCACCGCAACCGAACACCACGACCGCCTCGCACCTCTCACCGTCACAACCTGCGACAACATCTACCACGCCGACCTACGCTTACATCTACCCATATTCTCGACATTCTAGGATAATTATCCTGATCTCCTTTCCACTGCCCCGGTCACAATGACCGACGATCTTGAGGTGCGCACCAACTATGAGGTGCTCGCGCATCTACCACTAACACTGCTGCAAAGGCACGACTTCAGAGTCACGCCCGCTCTTTCGAGGGGCTCATGTCGCTTGCACCGGCCGAAGAATACTATCCAGTATGTCTAGTTCTTATTGTGCTATTTCTATTGTCCTACTGTCATTGTTCCCTGGCTGCAGGACCACCAACTGACTTTTCACCCCCAAGACCAAGAAAGAAAAAAGAGCCGCCAGGAAAGCAAAAGCCACAACCCCCAAGACCGCCAAAATTGCCATGGATGAAAAGGAGCTCAAGCGCAAGCGCGGAGAAGAAGGCGAGGATGATGAGTTGGAGTCGAGTGCAGCAGAAGTCGATCTCACTTCAAAGCCAAGCAAAAAGCCAAAGATCGAGGACACACCGGCGGACGACCCCGAATCACAAGACAAAGCAGCTCAAAAAGCACTAAAGCGTGCTGAGAAGCGGAAGGAGAAGACACAAAAGAAGAAGGATAAGGCGGCTAAGTTGAAGGCGAAGAAAGAGCGTAAGGAAGAAAATAAGAAGGCTGCAGAGAGCGGCACGGCGGACCCTCCGAAGAAGAATACAGCGAAACGCCAGGCTGATAATGGAGCTCCGGATGATGATGAGGAAGATCCGGAGGAGAACATCATTGAGCCTATCGACGTGGCTGGCCTGGTCGACGATGTCCCACAGAAAGATGTAGCGTCCTCAGTCTCTCAATCTCCCACACCGAAAGACGCTCCCTCTCCAGCTTCTGTCCCGGCCTCCTCTTCATCATTATCTTCCATTGCCCCACCTACGTCCGCAGAAGACCAAAAATCCTCCAAATCCGCCCCAAATGGCGAACAATCCAAATCCGACGCACCCAATACCGCCACCCCAACCAATCCCAAGCCCGACAAAGCCGCTCTACTAGCTCGTCTCCACGCCCGCATCGAAGCCCTCCGCGCTGCCCGTAACGCCGACGGCAAAGACGGCAAACCTGCCCGCAACCGCCAAGAGCTCATGGAAGCCCGCCGAGTCAAAGACGAGCAAGCCAAGCAAAAGAAGAAGGAAACCCGTCAAAAAGCCAAAGAGGAGGAACAACGCGACAAAGCCGAAGCAGAACTCGCGCGACTGCGTGGAAGCGGCAGTCCCGTCTCAGCAATCAGCGACCCTTTCGCCTCGCCCCGCCTAGAAACCACCAGCTTCGCCTTCGGCCGCGTCATGTTCTCCGACGGCGGCGAAGTCGACCGCTCACTCACCGGCATCCGCGACGCGCATCAACGACGCAAGGGACCGCAAGACCCGCAAACGGCCCTCCTGGCCGCGCAAAATAAGCGCGAACGTCTCGCCGCCCTCGACCCGGACAAGCGAAAAGACATCGAGCAGAAGGACGCCTGGCTCACGGCCAATAAGCGCGTGCACGGCGAGAAAGTCAGGACGGACGAGAAGTTGCTGCGCAAGACGCTGAAGCGGAAGCAGAAGATGAAGGAGAAGAGCGCGCGCGAGTGGCATGAGAGGAAAGAGGGCGTACAGAAGGCGGTTGATATGAAGCAGAAGAAGCGAGAGGATAATTTGAAGCAGAGGAGGGATGATAAGGTGGCGAAGAAGATGGGGGTTAAGAAGTCTTCGGCGGGGGTTAAGAAGAAGAAGGGGAAGCGGAGGCCGGGGTTTGAGGGGGCGTTTGGGAAGTGATAGCGGTGAGGTTTGCGGTTGAGGGCGCATTTGAGAATGATCTGGACAGGAGAATCGGATATTGAAGTTGTCTTTCATTTAGCGGTCATCATGGAGGGCGTTTTCAAAGGTTTAAAATCTAGTTCTGGGGGTCATGATGGGCATTGTTCTCTCGGCATATGCATAGCGCAGTCGTCACGATATACATTTAGTTACAGTATACATACATTCAAGACGTCGAGGCCATCGATCCTAGAATCACGGCTCCCCGTGTACGTCCTCCCTCCCCACGCTGTGCCATCTCGGACTCGCCGTCGGGTAGAATATCCCCTTCGTCCCTCCCTCCACCAACACCAAAAATCCTCCTCCCACATAATTCCCACCAAACAAATATCTTCCAGAAATCAGTGAGCTGGCATAGTGGTACGAGCGAGCCTAGTTTACCTCCTATACTCAATATCAACCTGCAAAGTGTTGGTTAGCGGGATTTGGGTGCCGGCTTGCTGGTTTCATTTTTCATTTTACCATTTTCCCCCTTCTTTTCGGGCCTGTTTCTTTTGGGTTATTGTGGAGGGGCTGGATGTTAGAGATAATGCAGTGAGTAAATAGACACCTAGTTCTGAAGTGAGAACTACGATTCTAGGGAGAGGATATAGATAAGGTTGGTGTCGGGAAACCTTTCTATGCATAGAAGTAGATATAGCGGATAGACACTCACGAATCACTTGACACAAAGCTCGCTGCTGTCGATGGTGACAGTGGAGCCTCTGTATGTCTTTGGATTCGTGTTGGTTGTCTTGATTGAAAAGGGGGCTATCGAAGTGTATATACAAAGAGGACGGAGGGTGATGTGGCGCGAGCTAGCTCGCGCCACACTGCTTGGTACTGTGATAATCAATACACGTGATTCCTATTGAATAGTTTCCGACAGTTGGAGTTATATTCCTCGGCTGCTCAAATTTGCGCGATCATCTTTTATTCAGCTTGTTTACTACCTACCTACATCCATTATCAATTCACTACGGACCCAGCCTCACCTCTTTTCGCTCATATCACGCATCTCACGCATCTCCCACCTCACTCATGTTCGCTTCCCATAACAAGCTCAACCTCAACCCAGCACCAGTACCAGCACCAGTACCAGCACCAGCAACATCACAACCACCACACACCCAACAACAGCACACGCATCAGATTAGATCAAAAAGGAGCAGGAGCAGAGGAAGAAGAAGAAGAAGAAGAAGAAGAAGGCACCGAATATTTTTACTTGCTAATACAACTCTCAATAATAAGTGAAGGAGGCTGACAAAAAAAGGGGGAGAAGAGAAAGAAGAAGAAGGAAAGAAGCCTCGATCCAGTACTCCAGCGCTTCTTTGGTCGAGCGAGCAATCGCCGAAGTCCCAAGTCAGACGTGCGTCCGATTGCACGAACCATGATGTACCGCTCCACAGTCCCGCCCCGCCTCCGAGTATCAGATATTATGTTATGAGGTTATTGTGTGGTGTGATTTGGGTTGGATTGTTGGCTTCAGAGAGTGTGGAATGAAGGAAGGATGGGGGGGACGGCATGGATTGGACTGGGTGTGGAAGCTGGGAAGGACTATGTCGAGTAGATGGGGGATTTGGTGTGGGGCGTATCGTCCTTGTATAGCTGCTCGAGCTCCTGACTTCGCATTTCCTTGGTAGTGTGCCACTTCTTTTCGACAGAAGCAGAGTATTGCTCAGGCTACTCTGCTCACAACAGCGAGTCGAGTCTCGTAAAGACGCTCAGACATGCCGCGACGACCTGCGAAAAGTCAGTATATCCCATCCTTGAACTTCAAATCCACAGCAATCGCTGGGACAACGTCAACCAACATACCTCAAGCTGCAACTCCTTGTCCTTGGCCGCCGCAACCTCATCCTGAACAACCTGCCCCAAATTCGCCCCGATCCCCTGCCCGCCACCCGCCCTCTTCGCAAACGGCCACTGGCTAAACTCGGCCAACAGCTCATCCACCTGCGCAAACGCGCGCTCCCTGGCCTCATGCCCGAGCGTCGCCAGCGCATTCTCCAGCACATTCGCCGCATACGCCGCACACACCATACTAATCGTCCTGATGTAGCGAAAGTCCATCTCCTCGGGGAGGAACTGCGAGGGCGGCAGGACGACGGTGCGGTTGGTGAGGAGATTGCGGACGCGACGGCGGATTTCGTCTTTGGCGCCGCCGTTGTCGGCGATGGGGTGCGTGGCCATGTCGAAGAGGAGGAAGTTTCGCTTTTCGGTGCGCAGGATGCCTTTGTCAACGAGGCCTTTGGCGAGGCGTTCGCGGACTTGTTTGAGTTGGTAGCCGATTTTCATGAGGTTCCATGTTTCGCCTGGAAAATATATCAGTCATGTTCCTCTTGTTTTCATGCGACGCCGGTCGTACCGCTCATGAGGTCGATCCACGAGCTCACGCTCATCTTCTCGCTCGACTTCATCATTTTCAAGGCCTCGTCTAGGAGGACTTCCCCTGTTAACGTGTCGTCGATGACTTCAATGACTCGGTCTGCCAGAGGAAATCGCCGCCTCGACGAATCCCTTTGCATGCTTATTCTTCCTCGAAATGCCAGTTCAATGACTATGCAGCCGCGCAGCGCGTAGGAAATGTTGTCGTTCCAGAATGATAGATATCCCTAGCAGAGGCATTTGTTAGCAAGCCGCATCTCTCCTCACAAGACGAGGCATAATCCTCAGAAGCGCTGTCTGGCGAAACCGCATGTCCCTCCTTTTGCGGCTCCGCGACCTCCACATACCTGCTTATCCTTCAATCCCATCAGCAGAACCTCCTCCATAAGCGTCAACTTCGGCTGCCT